GTCGTCTGCCTCTGCTGTGCTGACTCAGTTTTACGGCGCCCCGCCCACCTTGGTCTCTGAGGCGTTACATGAGAAGCATGGTGCCCATACCCTGTCGCATGGCTGTGTGTCTGTTGTGCACAAGCAGATCTTATAGGTGCAATTGTGACGATTGAAATTTCACCCCAGGGAAGTGGCTACCTGCCAGAAATTCCAGCAAAATTCTTTCACCCTTGTCCTGAAGTCATTCCTTAGGTGCCAAGACAAAAGTGCTGGCTGCCATTGTGCTGTTGCCACAGGCCAGGTCTGTACGGGCCCGTGCGATCTGGGCTGATCCCTGTGTGGGTTGCAGTGTCACCAACGGCTCAGCCCAGTGAGAGACGAACAGAGTAACCGCCTAGCGCCTTCGGCTGAATCCTACTTGTTAACATTTTAGGGACCATTTAAGTGGTACATAAGCGCCTATCTGTTGATTTCTTTTATGCAAACAAGAAGTCATTCCTCAGAATCAGCCCAGCTGTAACAGATGCTATCTGACAACACCATTACGTTAATATTTAGCTAATTCATATGAATAGGCTGTTGTTGTGTTTACTTAAACAAATGACTCGGGTACAGACACGTGACAGCGTGAGGTGTGCTTTCCATTTGGGTCAGGTTTGTAAATGTCTTTAAGTAGCGACAAAGCTCATTATTTATTTTGTGCTTTTAATGGGTTCTTTTTAGTGGCTGCGGATGGATTTTTCTAAGTAGAACCTTTTAACGTGAAAGATGACTGAAATTGTTTCAGGCCCCAGGAGTCTGGTGATAAATAGGAATCTAGTCCTCCTTGGTGAACCTCTCAGAAGAATAGTGTGTTTCTGGGCATTTGACCCCCGAAGCCAAGTGGCTGCCGAGGTGCCTTCCCATTGCAGGTGCAGCGGGGTTCAGAGCACAGAATGCATCCCATTCCTGCCCTCTGCTCCCCTCCCTCGCCTGCAGCCTTTCTGTCTGGCGTACGAGACTGACCAGTTTGGCCTTGCTTTTCTCTGTCTGGGGTTATGTACACACCACCTATATCCCGCCACCGTGACACGTAGGCAAGCGGAAGGATGAAGAGCATCCCCTTGTTAAGAAATCTCAGCTTTCACAGCAGGTTCAAGGGCAGGGGTGAGGCGGATAGGGGTCGGAGTTTCGGATGCACTTATTCTAATTCCTGCCTCTCCCACGAAAGCCTGGCTGCAAAGCGAAGGGGATCGTTAGCCCCCGGGAGCGGTGCCATCCACAGACTGGGGGACGAGACATCTCAGTCCTAATCGGAGACCGAGTCTCTGCCCGGGCCCCTTTGCCTCTGGTTTGTGGGGTATGTATGCTGTCGCTCAGTCCAACCCTCATCAGAAATGAGCAGTTCTGATGGGTCTTGTAGAAGTTCAGTGTTCTAGAATGTTCAAGGCCCCGTTGATGGATGCTTTTGGTTACCTGTTTGCTAAGACAGAGGTGTGTGTGTGTGAGAGAGAGACACAGAGAGCGAGTGAGAGAGAGCGAGAGAGAGAAATAGAGAGAGAGAGAGAGATAGAGATTGAGAGAGATTGAGATTGAGATTAAGTGCTGTACGAGATTTCAGTGGAAGCTCCGGGAGTCATATGGGAGGCCCTGTGCCTTCGGCCCAGGCTGGCTGACCGGGCTCACGTCTCACACGCCAGTGGTTGAAGGCATGGAGGCCAGCCCCTTGGAGAAGCTGGCTCTTACCAGCAGTGGACCAGAGCAGGGCAAAGACAGTGGCTCTGCCATCAAACTGTCTCAGCTCTGGTCCTGGCTGCCTCTCTTCCTAGCTCCATTGTGCTGGGCAGTTACTTCTCAGTTTTCCCACCTGTAACCAGGAGTTATAATAGTGCCTTTCTTGTCGGATTGTTGTCAGGATTAATGAGCTAAATAAGTAAGTGCTTTTAGGGCTGTGTTTGTCAAATAAGGAGCGCTCACTCAGTAACGGTCATTAGCGTTACGAGCGGGCGTGAAGAATTCACGACAGTCTTCCAGATGGATGCGGTGGCTCTGATTTGGATGAAACGTCCGTCATGTGGCAACTTTGAAAACCTCTTTTCTTGAGTTTAAAAAATCACTCGTACCTGTGACTTTGAGGGCCGTTTAGAGGGCACAACTTTTCATAACATTTTATTGGTAGCCTTCAGTTAGGTGCTTGGGAATGGTAGCATACGGCATTTACAACTACCACTGGAGAGAAGAAACCTTTTTCCATTTAAAAAATTAAAATACTTTTAGCGATGTGGTTTGTTGATTGTCATAAAAAGTGCCGGGAAGGTAACGATGCCTCCTCCCGGGATGATAAATTATACTATTGGTTATCCTTTAACGTAAAGCTGCAATGGATAAGTCAGTGTGGCTTGTTCTTACTAGCATGTGGATGTGATCGTTTCAGAGGCGCGGTGATCTAAAATGATACAGTTAGGGACGACTCAGCTGCTGTTGACGAATGTGTTGTCTCGGTGTGTGTAAAGTGGCATTTTAAAACACAACGCAACATAAATTTAAATTCTGGCACTAAGAACAAAGGGAAGGTGCCACAAAACACTTTTTCCCCCCAGTTAATAGACATAAACTAACAAGCACTTCATCTCCAGGGACTTTCTGCTGGGCCAGCTGGATTAGACTTCGGAATAGTTTCTCGTGATGTAAATATTACCCAGAGATTTTGAAAACGTCAGATCGTTCACATGCAAAATAAAACGAACTTACCTGTGAGGAGTTTAATAACGGAGAGGAAACTCTCTAACCACAGTCTAATGTCGTTTTCCAAAACAGGAGCGCCGTATTGGACCAACACAGAAAAGATGGAAAAGCGTCTGCACGCCGTGCCTGCAGCCAACACCGTCAAGTTTCGCTGTCCAGCTGGGGGAAATCCAACACCCACTATGAGGTGGCTGAAAAACGGAAAGGAATTTAAACAGGAACATCGCATCGGCGGTTACAAGGTAGAATTAATGCTTTCGAAATATTCTGTATCTTAATGTTTTTTATTGATTCCTTTTTGTAAGTCGTCAGAAGTTAGCAGGAACTAGAAGGAATTAAAAAAAAAATCAGTAATTATGATAACTGATCATTTCCCTGTTTGCTATTTTAAAAAAGAGTTACTCCGGACTTGCATATAATTTTAAAGTACAATCCCCATTTGCATTGTTTTTTATATGAAGCGAGTTCAATAACAGAAGGGGTCGAAAGTTGAGAGTCTGTTTTCTATATGCTTTATAGTCTGTAAAACCAGAACTGGAGCCGAATTTGAGAGGCGTAAGTACAGTTGCTGTATTTGAGAAGGGTTGTATGAGCAGCGGGTGGACGTGGGCTAGAGACTGGAGTGTGGAACACTTCGTACTGAGAGAGGATGCTGTGGAGATGTCAGAGACGGCCTCTCTGACCTTCATCTTCAAGGATTCCGTGGAGCCCATTACCGACTGTGCTGAAGTGCGGTCTCACCACTCATGGGCGGCCGGAACTGACAGCCATCTCCCCGAAGACGCCTGTCAGTGCCCGTCCAGGCCTCGGCTCTAACATTCAGCAGATGCTGACTGAGCACCCTCGGTGGCAGGCACCATCCCAGGCTCTGAGCAAAGCACAGGTCCAGCTCACAGGGGCTCCTCGTCCAGCACGGGAGGCAGACAAAAAAGCCGGAGGTCGGATCAGTGACATGGAAGAAATCAGAGGAGTGTTGTCCTGTAGATGAGCAGGGCGAGGGCGTGTTGGTTCCTTGGGAGACTAAGGAGAAAGGATCAGGGGAGGATTCTGGGCTGAGTTTGAAGGAAGGGCGTCTCGGAGAGAGAGATGGAATCTCCCAGTGGTTTAGTGTGGAAAAGGAGAATTTGAAGGATTTAGGATACGAGGAAGGCTTTGGGGACCTACCTCATCATGCAATTCTTTGGTGCATTTGGAACATGAACGGGCCTATTAGTTACCTATTGCTGTGTGACAAATTACTCTAAGACAAGGTAGCATTAAATAACAATGTTTATTATCTCAGTTTCCGTGGTCATGACTGTAACTGGGGTTTCAGCAAAGGCGCGGGGTTCTCATCTGCAGGATCAGGTCGGGCGGGGGAGGATTTGCCTCCAGACTCACCTCTCTGGTGGTTGTCGCGATCGGCTTCCTTGCAGGTTGTTGGACTGAGGGCCTCAGTTGCTCACTGGCCGGTGGCTGGAAGCCACCCCTGCTTCCTTGCCACGTGGGCCGCTCCATATGGCAGCTGGCTTCCTGAGCGTGAGCAGACGACGAGAGCCAGTGAGAGAGTGAGGAAGACAGAAGCCACAGCCTTTTGTAACCTAATCCTGGAAGTGCCTCCCACCGCTTTTGCTGTTTTCTGTTATGAAGCGGGTCACAAGGGGAGGAGGTGACCCACGGGCATGACTGTTAGGAGACATGGGGATGACAAGCCCCCTGAGAAATGGAGCAGGTGCCGTGGGTAGAGAGACGTTGCTTCAGCTCCGACCTCAGGTCCTCGCGAACCAGGCGGGAGAAGCTTTCTTGGTAGCAGCGGGGAGATGCCCAGAAGGACTTCTTTGGTGTGCCTCTCGCCTGTGTTTAACTCAAGCGACGTCACTTTAGGTGGCACGCCAGCCCCTGCCCCATCACTGTTGTGCCTAAATGGGCCTTCTCTCCACCCAGGTCCCCTGGAGCCCTTTCCTGAAACAGAGGATGGTAGGGGAAAGCCTGTGAGTCAATTTCTAAGAGCAGCGTCAGGTAGTTTATGCGTGAAGCAGATGTGAGGCACATCTGCTGGAAGGCGGGGCGCTTTCAAGCCGGGGAGGTTGGCACAGTACAGCTGCCGTCCACAGCTTCTCGTCGGTGGAAGCAGGAGGGTGATTTGTCTCTCTGTTCTTAGTTCAGTCCTTAGACAGACCAAGTGCAATGAGAGCGGAAGGTTGGCCCCTCCCCTCACCCCACCCCCTAAGAAGGACTAGATCAAGGAGGAGTTAAAGTGCTGGAGCAGTGGCCCCTAGAGAATCCTCACCACCACACGCTCTCTGAGCAGGTAACTGATGCAGCCCCTATGATTTATTCAAATACATCTTAAGGAGGAGAATGATGGTCAAAATCCTGGTGGTTAACTAATTTCCTCCCTTAAGACAGCCTTGGAAATAAGTACAAAGGGCCGATGAGCCTCCAGAAACTCCTGGTCTCAAAATAAATAGGACCAGCCTCGTGATTATGAATAGGGAGCATTTTGCAAATCTGAATTAGTGATTGCGAATAAGCTGGAAGACGAAGGGCGCCTAATGAGAAGATGCTGCTTGATTTTTAACAGGTGCAGTTCAGTTCTAATTACTGAAGGCTTCATTCTGCTAAATGAAGGGCACCTGTGCTCTAAAAGCATTGTGAGGAACGGTCACGAATACTGTCAGCCTGTCCTCGTGGATGCAGAGATGACCACAGTATTCTTGTTGTTTCACGGTTGAGCCGTTTCTGGAATGAAAGAGAAATGGAATTTGAGTGCACGAGACACACATCTAAAGTATATTTTGCTTAAGACAAGAGGGCCAAGAGGGGAGAGTACTGTACTTTGGGGACGTGACGTGCTGGCTGGCAATGACGAGGGTGTATTTCTTGCCCGGCTGGGCTTTTTCTGTGGAGGTGAGGCTGTGGCCAAGGGCCTGAGTGGCCCGGGTGGTGGGGAGTCATCTTGTCTAATGCAAAGGTAGTCAACCTGGATGCAGTAAGGGGTTTCCACAGCAGTTGTGGCGTTAGACATTCAGTGTGGGGACGTACCGGACACTCTTGGAAATTTCATCGAGCCCTAGAACTTGAAAGGGCAAGACAGAGACCTCTCTTCTCCTGGGCAGTTGTAGTTACCCAGAGTATAAGCCACTCTAGTGATGTGTAAGACCCACCGCAGGTGCCCAGGTTATGAAGTCACTGGAGGTCAAATGGTCTGACACCCACCTGCAGGCTTCCTGTGCTGGCCCACACTCCCTGACTGGTGCCACCCTGCTCCCAGCCCACGGGGCCACCTCCCAGGGCCTCGGCCTGGTCACTGGTGGTGCATTTTCCCTCTGATGCTTCTTTATTACCTACGTAAACTTTTAAAGAACCACTCTTGTGCACATTTGACCTGAGAGAACCATATTGTACAATCTATAGTTTCTACTCCTCAGCGCTCCCCCAAGAGGAGGGAGACCTAATTGACATGCAGAGGGCCTGTCGTCTAAATGACCACCTCCCCAACTGTGACCCCCTTTTTTAACACAGAAGCCAGGTGTCAAGTTTTCCAAGATGTATTTTTCCAGAAAGCAAGACCTGAGAGTTTCTGCAAACAAACGTGTTATTTCTTTGATTATTTTTTTTTCTCCGTACATCTCATTCTGTAAACGGTACTCCTGTGGCCCAGCAGTCTGTCTAGCCCTTTCTACCTGTTTATGCGTCGGGCACCTTGGCCTTCATTCATTGCGTTTCAGCTTGTTTTGAAGTGGCGTGCTTATGTGACCAGTGAAGGGAGGAGGGAACACAGAAAACCGAAACAAAATCAAAGAGAATTATGGAATGGGACAGAAAGCTCATTTTAATTAAAATGACCAATAGAGCTATTTGGGATTCTGCAGTTCAGGCTTATTTATCAAAGAACTCATGCTGAGCCATCCTTTGGTGATTAAGAGTCAAATTATTGTTTTTCTTAGCATGTGGGCAAAGGCTTGTCGAATAGTATTAATTTATTTAGAATGATAAAGCTTGAAGCATAACTATATCTCCCTAATTGTACTGATGCCTGGGCTTGACAGTGGGCAAGTTGTTCATGCTCTGGGTGTGTCAGGTCACCTTAAAATGAGCCGATTGGATAGATCACCTTGAATGTCCAGTTCCTTCCAGCTCTAAAAACTGATTTAGTAGCATAGCCATAATGCAGCATCAACCATTTCTCATCTTAAACAACAGCACAGATCTTGTGAAGAGGTTACCTTTACAGCTAGATATTTCACAGGGCTCCGAACAGTTATTACGATTTAATGCAGAAAAGCAAGAAGATGACTGGGATAATTAATGGACTACCTCAGTTCCCAGCCCATTCCTAGGTAATGACTTAGGCATGCAGGGGAAGAGTGTTCTCCAAAACCATCTTTCATGCCACTTGCTAACTGCGTAAGAACCGGGAGAGATCACAGGATGGAGCGTTCTGTGGAATTGGCTGACGAGCCCACAGCTCTAGGCATCCTGGTTCCCATGGAGCCGCTCAGCAGAGTGAAGCGTCATAGCATATGGACTGTTGGTTTCCAAGTATATTTTCGATTTAAGAAACGACAACATAAAAAACTGTTCTTTTATAATCATAACCAAACAGCTTTGGATGGATAGGTTAATTAGATTTACATTTGCTAGGTTGCTTATGTCATTTTAAAGACTTGATTCAATGTCATGCTTAACCGCAAAGTATGCTTATTTGGAAATATCACTATTAATGTCCTCATTCATATTTTTATACTTTGTTGGGCTTTTTTCTCAGCCAAGACATTTCAGCTTTAATCCCAGATCAAGCAGCCTGTGATGAGGAAGCAGGTGTATGTTGGTATCAGCCAGTGTGTATTGGCTGCTCACCTGTGTCTTGACTGTGTCAGGTGCCTCCTGTGTACCTTGCCCTCGGTCCCCTGCACAGCCCAAAGAGGCGGCACTGTTATTTTGCCTCTTTTTGAGATGAGATGCGTCACATGACTCCTAGGCGGTGGAGCTGCCATTTGGACTCAGGTGGTTTTGCTCCATATTCATGCTTTTATTAAACTGTTTTCTTCAAATGTGGGTCTGTGTTTTATGAGGACACTGTTAGGATAAGTGAGAAACACAGACAATAATGGCTTTAGATGGCCCAATGTATGCTGTTGAGAGCAAAGTTGAGGGTATTTTTAATTATGGTAGACTATATATAGCATAAAATTTGTCATTTATTTTTAAAACTTTTTCATCACCCCCAACATAAACTGTCTCCATTAAGCAATAACTC